GGGGAATATTTCCCCGCCCCTTCCCCGCCCCGTTACCCGTTTATGTGGGTTTTCCTTTCCCCGTTCGGGGCGGGTCCCCGCGGGTATCGGGTTTGTCGGGTTTTTTTGCCATCCCTAGGTCAAAAGCTCTAATTTCTCTTTTGTCCCTCCTTAGTCGGACACCCGACTTCAATTTGGCTAGTCCCCATCTTGGTAAACCTCGTAGTGCCTTCAGCTATGCAACAATATTCTCTTAAACTCCACCACCAAGGAAAAAATGCAAGCTGTACGAGTATGGTTATTCTACCAGCAATAACACGTCTATTTCTTTTATAGACATGATCTTCTAATAATCGAAGTGATTGCATGTCAATAGACCATGCTCACAAGGATTTATACCACTTGTCTATGCCTTTAGGTATGAACTTTGTGTCTAACCATTAAAAAATTTTAAATGGTCATCTTTTGAATTTTGAAGTTATACATTCTCTAATGTTTGTTCTAAAATTTGTCGAAGACGAAATTATCCCGAAGGTTGCTTGCAGTAAATGGATCTTTTCAAATCCACTCTATCACCCCTCTTCAACTCAGATATATAACAACAATAGAATCACATCATTTGAAATCATGAAAAGTTAATTCAGTGGCAGACATAGACATTTTGAGGTAAGGGTGCACAATCAGTGTTTTGAAATGGATGGTTTCTCTTATGATTTTCAATTTAAAAACAAAAATCTTTTTAAAGTTGGTGGATCACGTGAGGCAAATATCCTGACAATCAATGTGTTTGCTGATATCTCCTTGACCACATCGCGAAGATTGTACTTCATTAATTAGTCCCGATATTACTAATTGTTACTAGTTAAGTTTTCAATTGTATCCTCTTCATACTTGTCTAGCTATACATTTAATGTTCTTTAGTCAACTTTAATATGATGAAAATGTCAATTCAATAATGGCGAATGATCGAAAATGTCAATAATTGAATGCTCATGCGCAATGCACGCCTTTCACATCAACCCAGGTGATTTGGTGCACGATTATCGATTTGAAGGTCGTCCTCTTCTCGGCCAAGCCAGTTAGGGGCTTGTTTGTGATAGTAACCCAAAAACATGAACTTAATGCAAGGTGAATATTGGCGAATTGGTTGCAACTTCAATTCCATAAAGAATATCCTTCATCTTGGCTAATAAAAAACGTATTTTTCCACCGTGCTATAAACTTCCTTAGGTTCCAATTTCACTTATCAAAAAATATTAACAGAGGTTGACGATTTTCGAGTTAACACTTACTAAGT